CAGGTGGGCCTCCAGGAATGGATGTTCCCCTGGGCCTGGACCTCGGGGAGATGGTCCCCCCACCCCCGCTCTCCCTTTGTCCCCGGCCCCACGCCCTCAGGTCTGCACCTGTCTGCGGGGTATTTTTAGGATGAGCCCATGGTACCCAGCCTATAGTCAGAGAAAGACAATGCCCGCTATGTTAATCCCGGGCTATTATTGTCGGCCGGCCCGCGGGGCAGAGCCGGGCAGGGCCAGGGCAGCGGGGTGCTGACCTGGGGGGCTAGGGAGAGGCCGGGCAAGCAGGAGGTGGGGGCGCCCAGCCGGGTCCCCCGTTTGGTGGGGGAGAGAGCTCAGGACGGGCGTCCTAAGGAGATGCACCCCTCGTGCCCGGGGGTGATGGCCCGCTCTCTGGACACTCATCCTGGGGCCCAGCGGAGGTGACCTTGTGGTTCCGGGCGGCTGCCAGGGAGGAAGGCCAGGGTCTGGGACGTCACGGGGGGCAGAGGGGGGAGCTGGGCGCAGGCTGCCCGGTGGAGGCACAGGGACGGAACATGAAGGCACCCGGCGGGGAGCAGCTGGGGTCAGAGAAGGGATGGGGGGCGGGGGCTGCCTCCTGAACGCCCCACACTGGGGATCTCACTCCCAACCCCGACTGGGAATCGAACGGTGACCTCCTGGTTCATAGGTCGATGCTTAACCACTGAGCCACGCCGGCCGGGCTGACCTGCTTTGTGAGAAGGAAAGATGGAGAGAGCAGACTGACCAGGACAAGAGCAAAGGGTGGTCAGAGGCGCCCACAACATGGGTGAATGTGTGCCGCCCAGCGGGCCCCCCTCTGCACAGGGAATCTCGGGGAGTCACAGACTCTGAGGGTCTCAGGTGCGACTCCTCCCGGGGGCTCCGTGTGGCCGAGTGGGGCCGGAGTCCCTGTCCCTGGTCCCAGAGGCCCCTCCCAGGAGGTGGGGGGCCACGGGGCGGGGGAGGGAGTGTCTGGCTGGGGGAGCTAAGCCCTGTGAGGCCCTGGGTGTGGACTGAGGGCCTGGTCCCTCCGCACCTGTCAGCCCAGCTGCCGGTCATTGTCTGGGGAGCGAGGAGCCCAAATTAGCCGGTGACCAGGCCCCATAGCATCTGCCTTCCGGGCGCCCCTCCCGCCACCCGCCCGCC